ATTCCCCCCCCCCCCCCTCCCCCCCCCCCGTTCTATCGTTTGGTTAACCGGGACGCCCAATCAACCAATCGTATATCTGGTTTGGCACAGCAAACGCAAGTATGACGACGGGCTCCTGGATCATCGTTGTGAAACGCGTAGCCTGGGCCGCAGAAAACCCGGCGTATCGCTCCGTCCCGGCTGGCATTGCAGGGATGCGAGGTCTATGGTCTGCCGACTTCGGCATGCGTTTTACATGAGTATGAGCACACCCCTCCCCCGTTGCCAGAGGTATACCAGTACGACACTTTTTTTCTCTGGGGTCTTTGGTGGGACCATTTCGGCCTCCCCACCCACCCCCATCCCAACCCCCCCTCCCCCCCCCACCCCCTGCCAGATCTACGACACTTTTTACTCTTCCGACTCCCCGCAGTACTGGCTGCGACAGCTGGCGATCTTCGTTCACACCGTCAAGCTCGAGTCCCTGGCCCTCCAGGTCACGATGATGACGCTGACGCCCAGCAACGGGTCCGGGGCCAAGTGGGACGCCCATTACGAGTCGAATATCAACGATGCCGCCCTCGCGGACCTGGCCAACATGCCCAGGGCGACCCCCTGGAGCGGGGGCCCCGGTGATGGAAAGACCCCTTCCTCTCTCCGCAAGCTGTGGCTGACGGGGCAGCGCGGCGGACAGGCCGAAGCCCCCAGCATCACCACGGGCCTGGGGGCGATCGGGGCCAACGCGCCTCGCCTCGAGGAGCTCGTCGTGGACGGTCTCAAGGTCACCGATGACGGGTGGAAGAGGTTCGCCACCGCCAGGCTGAAGGCTGCCGCCGCCGCCGCCGCAGCGGCGGGGCCCCCCGTTTCTTATGGCCATGGCGGCGGAGACGGTCGTGTCACGTCGCAGTTGTCGTCGTCGTCGTCATCATCATCATCATCGGTGTCCTCCTTGCGGGTTCTCCGGATCAGGACGAACGGCCACCCTTTCGTGCCCTCGGCGGCGACGCGCGGTCTCCTTCAAGACGCGGTAGGCGAGGGGACCGTGACCCTCTACCTCAACGAGAGGGACCGGGTTTCTTCGGCAGGGGCGGCGGCTCCCGGGGGTGGCGGCAGCGGCGGCAGCGGCAGCGGTGGCGGCGGCGGTAGCAGTGGTGGCGGCGGCGGTGGCGGAGGCAGCGGCAGCAGCGGCGGCGGCGCAGGAAACGACAAGCTACACCTGGATTGCGAAGGGTGTGTGATCGAGGTTAGCGAGGGGAAGGAAGACGGGGTCCCGTCTACGTCCGGCGGGAGGCTTCTCGTGGTTGAATCTGTCTATGCCAATCTCTCTCACGGCGGGGGCGCCGAACGCCTGTGACTTTGAAGGAGGGAGCGGAGGAGGGGGGGCTCTCTACAAGGGTGTTGGCGATGGCAACCAAAGCATCCAGCGGCCAGCGCACTGGGGCGTGCTGTTTGGTGCTGTCTTGCCTCAGGGGTGATGATGAGGTTCCCTGGCACGTCTGTGTTATCCTCGCGGGTTTTCTGCCCATACGATATCGTGACCGGCTTGTGCGGCAGCAGCAGGCAGACCCCACGGGGTTCCCGCGTAGCCGCGGTCGCCCCCTACGACATACAACTACGGGACGAAACGGTCCGTGCATGCCAAGGTCAGCAAGAGAGAGAGAGAGGCGACTGCGGGGATGGTCAACAACACCCATTCGCGGGAGAAGGGTTTTTCGAAGCTGATTGAACAGTCCATGGAGGCAATGCAACCCCCCCCCCCCCGTACACACTTTTTTCTTGGACAACACAACGATTCGGGGCTTCAATGAAGACGACGAAACTGCCTCCGTCGCCCTTTGTTCCTCCGGCTGGAGCTACACCCGCTGTTTTTTGTGGCGGTACATGCAATTGTGCATGCAAGTCTTGGCCGTCAAGCATTGACCTTTTTTGTGTCGGCGAAGTCGGAAGGTTGCCTGCGCCCTTTTCCGCACACAACGCTCAAGTGCCCCGTCCATGAATGAATTCGTTCGTAGTGGACTTGTCGGAGGGCTTCGAGTCGTCTGTTGGGCTGTTGTCGTCGAAAGGGCAAGCTATCCAGACTGTTGCTGGTGGCGGAGAGCCAGGGGTTTCCAAGAAAGAAAGCGCGGGTGAGGTGAGTGGGGTTGGGTTCGAGATCTCGGCGCTCCACGTGTGTAGAAACCCAAGCCTTGCTTGATGATCCTGCCCTACTGCTGTCTCTCTCGGCACCATGTGTGTGAAGAAAATGCATGTAAGATTATGCGCGTTGTCCTGGGAAAAGGTTGTGACCAATGAAGGGAGTGTCACTTATACACGGACGTCTTGGTTCGGCCGAAAACGTCGTTACCCGAAGAGTATCTGTTCGCGGCAGGCCTGCTCACGTTGTGGTCGGACTGTATTATAATAGTAGTTTGGTTCGCGGTAGAGAAAACAAATGTGTCCCGCATCATTTGGGCCGATGTTGAGCTTTTGGTTGAGAGCTTTTTCCAACCCTGCATACAGGTACCCTCCCCCCCCCCACCCCCCCCCCCCTTTTGACCAATAAGGTGGGGCAAAAAAAACCCCGGGCCCTAAAAAAAACTGGGGGGGTTCCGGGGGGGGGTCCAAGCAAGAAATAATCCTTTCCCCCCGGGGTGGGTTAAAACCGGGGCCTCCCCCAATAATGGTTTTGGGGTTTTCCCCCACCCAAGGGCCGCCAACCCCTTATTTTGGAAGGTTTCATTTGTTGGGCCGGGAAAATTTACCACGGGAATTGACCGGAATGGAAGGGGGGGGGAGGGGAAAGGGAAAAAAAAAAGAACCCTTTGAGTTTCCCCCGGGGGAAGAAAAGGCTGGGAAGGCACCGGGGGGGGGGGGGGGGGGGGCACCACAATCGTTTGGTACGTTACGGTACTGCTGTACAGCCGTTGACACCAACAAAGTGACCACGCATCCCTTTCGAAACAGAACAGGAGAGGGCGGGGGAAGACCCAAGACTTGTGTAGTACCACCTCCAAATCATTGGTGTGGCAATGACGCCGACAATATGTAGCTGTGTGCAAAAATCTCACTGGATTTTCCTCCTCTTTCAAATCCTACCACCGCACGGACGGTGGCCCACCAGGGTTCCCTGCTTGTAGGGGGAGAATACCGGCGGTGGAAGTTGCTCCCGGCCGGCGGTGGCGGGGGACGGGACACACATAAGGAGGGGTGGTAGCCATGCGCCACATTTTGCGTGTTTGGCGTGGGGGAAATTGATACATGGTGGCAGCCCATATTCGTCGGTTGACGACAAGAGCAGACAGACAGAGGGGAAAGAAGGTGCACGCGGTCTGGCGTCACTCAATGCTGGTGCGGCTTTTACTGGCACTCGGTTTCACCAACAGCAATCTAAATGGTATTTCGACAATTAAACGACGTGTGTGTACCATAAAAAAATACACGCGCACGTGCATGTAGCAGGCAGGCATCGATTGTCTAGTACGGCGGCTCAGGGAAGAATCCCTGCTCCACCGTACGAGAGCACGTGGCCTGCAACGTGACACAGGAAGGATGGTGAGACTAGGCGCCGCCACCGGTAGGAAAAAGAGACAGGTGAGGTATAATAGCATTTTCCGCACCCATCCGTGTCGATACAGTTTTCCATCTCGTCTTGAGTGATTTTTAATACACTACCGGTACATTTTACATCTCACGCGTTTCTTTTGCGAGGAGACCGTTCTAAAACCACCTTTTCTTTACACGTTCTGCAAAGAGCCGGGACGCACAACAGCAACCTACTGTAGCCGGACAAGACAATTCGACAGCCGACACACACGACGCATATGGCGGCGGCGTGAACAACACAGACGACACCGAATGGAACAACCCCCCGTAACACACAGAGAGGACAACATACACCACAACATCTGTCCATCACAACCTAGGGCCTCCCAATCTACGCCACCGAGCGGCGGCAAAACTCTCCATCATCAGTCACTTCAGTCATTTTTTTTGCACACGGCCTGCCTGCGGATGGGATGCGACCAAGGGCAAAAATTAGCTCGTTCTGACACCATTCGGAGCATTCCAGCCAACTCAAAAACGTAGCCAGCCGTCAACAAGAGACGGGGTGGCAGCCGCCACAAATCCCTAACACACGAGTAGCCTGCCAAGGTATCCAGCGTATATACACATATGCGCGAGTCCCAAAGACACGGAAAAATATTGAAAACCGCCAAACGCTTAGTCCACCCAACATGTACGGCAAGAAAATTACAGCCCTACAGACATCCCGGATACACGGCGCATGCGACGGAGAGCTGCCGCATCGCGAAGCACGAATCGGAATCCAAAATTTGGACAAGAAAGAACAAACCAACTACTGCAGACAACAACAATACACACCTACTACCGAAAAACAACCCCGACGAATCGGGGCTAAAAGAGCACACCATCAACGGGGTACCGTTCGTGCCACTCCTGAAATTTGTTCACGCGTCACACAAACCACACCATTCGCGGCGATGAAGATCGACACCAGACGACACAAACCATCCCAGCTGCCTGCCTGCTTGCCATGCACCGCACCACTAACATACGAAACCTAGCTCAGCAGCACTGCCGACTTGCAGTACACGCGGACGCAGCCGTTGTAGTCGGTCGCCAGGATCATGCAACCGCCGTAGCCCCCGCTCTCCTCCACCGGCCCGGAGAGCCCGCCCCTCACCGCCCGCACGCACGCCCGCGACGTCGACTCCGGCACGAAGCAGGCCGTCGTCACGATCTTGGGGGCCTCTGATGTCGCGTGGAAGGACTCGTGGCGGGTGTTGGTGTCCTTTTGGGTCGGCGCCACCGCCGGCGAGGGGGAGGTCGCAGCGGCGGCCGACGCACCCACCCCCGGGATGCGGCCGCCGCCGCCGCCGCCGCCGACTCCTGGGAGCGTGGACGGGGACGTTCCTGCAACGACGCCAGTGCTCCACACGTACACCTGGCGCGCGCGCGGGGGGGGGAGCGTTTGTTGTTGGGAGTGGTCGATGGCCGCGCACTCGTCCTTCGAGAACAAAAAAAATCTCTTCTACTTACTGCTGGTGGTAGAGGTATCGCGCCAACACCCTGGCATCCACTATATATTATTTTCTGCCGTGTTTATGCTCTTTATACCGAGGCGTATGCATAGGGGGGAGGCAACGAGGACCACCGGATGGATTGATGACGCAACCGGGGCAGATTTCCCTAAAAAAAGTGGCTCCTCGTGAAACAATCGTTGTCCATACACGTGCATGCCATACTCGGGTGTGGCCAAGAACATCGATGGACGGATGCCGAAGCCGGGGCAGGAATGCCTGCCATCGGGCTTACTCATAGCTATTAAGTCTTCTACGTCCTCCGGCTACACAGCCACATCACGCACGGAACGCGGGCTTTTGCCGCACGCGCAGGAACAAAAAAAAGTGCAACTCTCGGAGAGCGAACATCTCGGGGGGTAAACCACAAGACCGAACTGTAACATGCACTGACGATGGGCGTGAGAAGGGAGGACATTCTTGCAACACGCTGTGTAACGCGGAACGCCTACTAAAATACACGCGTTATCAAAACGCCGGCTCTCGCGCCCCACCTGACCTCCGCGGCTCTCTCTCTCTCTCTCTCTCTCTCTCTCTCTCTCTCTCTCTCTCTCTCTCTAGATTTTTCATTCGCACCTTGCCATTCTCCGAGCCGCTGATGATCTGCTTGCCGTCCTCGCTGAACGTGGCCGTGATCTGCAGGGTGTCGTTCGCGAAGCCCTTGTACTTGGCGTTCATCCCGAAGTCGTCCGTGTTGTACAGCCGCAGCCGGGAGTCGTTCGTCGTCACCAGGAGCTGCTCCGGGACGTGAGACCCCGCGCCCCCCGCGATGACGCCACCCACACCCCCTGCTGCGCCGCCCTCGCCGCCGCGCCCGACGGGACCCCCGAAAGCCGGCGATGGCGTCACCGGCTCGCTGCGGCGGCCCGTCGTAGGCGAGGAGCCGGCGGATCGGTTGCTGCCGCCGACGCCGCCGGCTCCGCTGCCGTCTACCCCGGCGTCCTTCTTGCCGCCGCCGGCTTCGTCGCCTCCTCCGAAGGCCGTCCTCCTGAATGCGAAGCCGCTTACCTTGCAGCCGCGCTTCTTCGTGCCCCTGCGATTTCGGCACTCGATCTGCGTGAAGTAGCGCATGCCCTCGGTCTGGTAGAAGAGAACCTGTTTGTTTTTGTTTTATATTTGTGCAGGCGGGGGGAGGTGATGAGAGTGTGCCACACGTGCGCGCCACCGGGCAGACAGTAGGCAACCGGAGACATGCATGCCCCGAATAAGGTGCAATCGAGGGTATGGGGCAAGCATGAGCGGGAGCAGGAGGGGGTGGGGGAGGCACCCTCGTGCCATGTCTCCTGTTAGAGACCTAACCATATAACCACTTTGCACGGTACGAGGTCGTCCTCTGAATGGCACCCGAACCCCAAGTACTATCAGCGCTTGCGCTTCCATCCAAGCAGTTCTGTGCCGAACAATTTATGTACCACGTGCTAACCCACAGCAATTCCGGAGCAAAAAAAGCGGGTCATACTCACGTTTCGCGGCGCGAACGCAAGTTGCGCGCGAAGGACCTCACACACACCACCTACCTGTCCCATGTAGAGCCCGGCCACGATCATCTGGCCGTCCAGGCTGAACTTGGCCGCGGTCACCATGTCCGGCGCCTGCTGCCACTCCTGGACCCGGCCGTCCCGGATGTTCCACACCCTGATCTTCTTGTCGAAGCAGCCCGACAGGAAGAAGTGCTCCAGGAGCGGGTGGAAGTCGACCGAGGTAACCGTGTCGGCGTGCTGGAAGCAGTGCAGGCAGCTGGCCTGGGTGGTGTGCCACAGCCGCACCGTCTTGTCGAGAGAGGCCGACAGCAGGAAGTCGTTCCTCGACCACGAGATGGCCACCACGTCCCCCTTGTGCGCCTCCCAGATCTGCCACGGCTCCGGGTCTATCATCACGGTCGACAACGCCCTGCCGTCGGACCCTCGCCCCCCGCCACCCCCGCTCCCACCAACACTTCCGCTCAAGGGCGGTCGACCACTGCCCTTTGTGGTGGCGTCCTCTGAAACAGTTCCATCGCCACCGTTACCGCAGTCTACTGACTCGACTCCTCGAGTTCCAGGCTCTGGCCTCCCCTTCTCAGACCGCGGCCGCCCTGAGCCCTCCGCACCGGTCGAAGCCGAATCAGGCGCCGCAGCCTTGCTGCCCCCGTCGCCGCCGCTATCGCCGTCGCCGGCCTTCTCGCCCCGGAGGTCGTCCCTGGTGTCCCCGACCCTGTGCAAGAGTATCCGCGCGTCCTGCCCGGCGGTGGCGAGGAACTCTCCGCTCTGGTTGAACGCGGCCGTCCAGATCGGCCCGTCGTGACACCGGAGCTCCTGGAAGAGCATCAGGCCCGTGAGGGTCTCGGACGCCTCTTTCCCCTTGAACGACACCCGGATGCCGGCGAGGGCGCCGCGCGCCGCCTTCGCCGCGGCCCCCATGCCGCTCCCGACCGAACTCCTTTCCCCTGCCCCTCCTGCTCCGCCACTGCCCTCAACGTCTACCAACGCGTCACCCACACCGCCGCCGCCGCCGCCGCCGAAAGAAGACGAAGAGGGACGGGAAGGGGACGAAGCTCCCGAGGCCGTCTTCACCTTGCCCAGCTTTCTTCGCATCATGCTGCCCAGGCTCTTAGCCTTCTCCTTCCTGCTGGTCGTCGAGCCGACCGCCGCGGACATGGACGCGGCCACGCTGGCGGACAAGGAAGATCGCGGGGACGGCGAGTTTGGTTTTGCCGCCCCCGCCGCCGGTCCCGCCGCCGCCGCCAGCGACAACGAAGGCTCGGTGGAGGAGTCGGTGGCCGGCGGCGTTGGGGTTACGGGGACGGGGTTGTCTGACGATCGGCGCCTCTCTCGCTCGATCAGGTCTTTGCGGGAGGGGAGGAGGGTGTAGTTGTTGGTAGGCAAGTGCTGTTCCATCTCGCGGACGTCGAAGTTTTTCCCAGTGTCCTGCATGCACCCACGATTTGACGCCCGCCCGCGAGTATTTAGAACAAAGAGTTGAATACACACGCGCGCCGTCTCAGAAGGCGGTGATGATGCATACAATTTGGTTCCCAGTCAGGCAAGAGGAGAGAAAAAAGGAACGCATTCGAGCAGGGCGCGAGGTTTGCAAAGGCAAGATCCTAGTTCAAGACGTACACTACATTTTTCAGAGGAGTGCTTGCTGCTCTCTGCCTTCTCTATTTCCGAGCTTCCCTACCCTCCCCGCGAAACAGGCTATTGCTCGTGCGCAAGCACAGACACGAAAAGCCATTAAACGTCGAAACCAACAGCAGCAGGGTTCTCGCCTTGTTCACCACCAGGTATTTCGCGCCGGCGATTCCATCGTCCCCGGTCGAGGGATCGGCCGACCCAACGCCTGGTCCCGCCTCTGAACCGTCGCCGTGGCCGCCGCCGCCGCTGCTGTCGCACGTCGCGCTCGACACCGTCGACCTGGGGGACGCCGGGCCGGAGTGTCCCCCCGACCCTTCCCCTGCCGTAGCTGCCGAAGGCTGCGGCGGGTGTTGGTCCGTCGGCGTGTGGCTCGCCGGCCTTCTCGGGGGCAGCGGCGGTGGCTTCTTCGGGTTGTTGCTTTCCCCGGACGGCGGCGGTGGCGGCGGCGGTGACGCCGCCGTCGCCGCTCCGGCCTTCTCTTCCACGACAGGAGGCGCCTCCTCTTCCCCCCCCGTTCTCCATCCTCCTCCTCCCCCTCCTCCTCCTTTCTTCTCCGACTCCGCTGCTTGCCGTTCGCCGTCGTCGCCGCCGGCGAAGGGATTCAACGACGAAGAGGCCGTGACGAAAGGGTTGGTCGGGCTCGCGGACGGGCTCCGCCGTTCCTCGACAAACGGGTTCAGGCTCGGCGCACCAGCAGCAGCAGCAGCAGCACTGCTGCTTCGGCTTGTGTCGACTCTCGAGGGCGGCCGAGGGGGCGATACGGGCAACGCGCTACCGCGGCCCATCCCCCCGCCGCCCATCCCGCCGGGGGTGTGGACGGGGGTCGTCACCGGGGTGTTCTCGGCGCTGCTGATGTCAACCACGACCATCTTGGCGGGCTGGTGTCCCGACGACGGCCATCGCTGCATCTTGTCCGGCCTGCCTCTACCGTTCTGTGCTAACCCTGGCTGTGCGTCCTCGTTGAAGGGGTTGCTTGACCTGCCAGAGAACCCGTCGCGGCCCAGCACTGGGCTTGCCTCGACGTACTCCCCCGCGGTCGAGAAGGCCGACAGGTCGAGCTTGACGCTGCTGTTCGTGGAGGCGACGAGCTTCATGAGCTCGGCCGCCTCCGCGTTCGGCATCAGGTTCCCGGCGCTGGAGGACCTCGTGCGGGTGCTCCTGTTGCTGCCGTAGGCGGAGGCGGAGGAGGAGGAGGTGCCGTAGGTCGAGGAGGACGCGGACGGGCGCTGCTGCTGCTGCTGCTGCTGCTGCTGCTGCTGCTGCTGCTGCTGCTGCTGGCCCCTGCCGCCGCTGCTGCTGACATCTTCCACCGCGTCGTAGAACTCGTCCCCGCCGAGGGAGCTGTCGTTGGAGATGTGCTGCTGCCCTATGTTCCAAGTTGCCGCCCTGCTGGCTTCCGTGTCGCCTCTTCGCTTCTCCTCCGCCATTGGCAGAAACAAAGGTGTATCGAACGACACTACTCCCGGTAGTGATGAACCCTTCTCTCTCCCTAACCACGCCGGTTTGCTGAGCCCAGCAGCAGCGGTACCGAGGACCGAGGAACAAATCAACTACAGCGGCGGGGTAGCTAGAGCTTTACAGGGGGCTTGAGGGCACTTGCTCGGCTGTTGTAGCGGCCGCGAACATGAAACAACTAGATTGGGTACGCTATTGCATCCACATGAGTGCAAGCCCTGGCACGCCAACGGGAACTGACACCAAGTTTGAACAGCAGCAGCCAGCACCACCTGCCACCTCGCGATACGTTATATCTCCACACACGGAGGAGATTCTATATCAAACGGTGGGTTATATGCCTTCGTGCAAGGAATCCAACCGCGTACCCCCCTGCGGCGGAACAATTATTCGTGGTTCATGTTGTGATCGATCACAGCGGCATGTACGTATATGCGCCATTCCAGCCTCAATTTTTACCAAGCCAAGATGATGTACATCCCACGAAAACTCTACAAACGATTTTATTTGTGATGCCTAATCTCTGTGGGTTGCCAAAAGTGATATTAGCTGTAGGTAGATATAGATAGTGGCTCTTGATGACAGACCTTTTACCGACCTGAACCTAACGAAGTCTCCCGCAAAATCAAGTGGCTGCTCGTACTTGCTGTAGTCTACACGCCCAACCTACGTTCCTACCAATCAATCTGCAATCGTTGCGTAATAAAGGTTGATTGATATCTCCCCGTGCTGTGGGTGACAATAAACAACAGGGTCGTGAGTTGTTGCTCGTTCGATCTCCTTTCTTTCACGTCTCCTGGCAGAGACCTTGAGTGTTCAAATGAAATGTCCTAGTCTTGAGCGTTCTTCACAACACCATGATCGGTATTGCTTTGCAGACACGTCTACAAGCAGCAGCACACAGAGCTTCCTTGTAACCTTCATCATGCAAAAAAAAACTAATAAATGTCATCCTTCATGCTCAAACTCCTTGACAACAAGCAAGTGCTACTACAGCGAGCGGCAGCAGCACAAAATACATGCTCTCTCTCCATCATACACCAAACTTCTCGACACCTTCCCACACAAGCACCGGTTTTAACTCTCCCTTACCAGCGCCTACAGAGCTACTTACTCGACCTCCATCCATCATGTTACTGATGACTTGGATAATACAGGTAGCTGAGCGTGACTCTGGTCATAAATATATAAATATGACGCTCACGCAGCAACCTTGCCTTGCCCCGGTGACGTGTAACACGTCTCTAATTGACACGAAACTACCCCACTCTCATCAAAGATATCCCACAACGTCGTCATCATCATTATCATCATCATCATCATCATCATCGCGAACAGGGAGACATAGATCATCGAAGCACGTCGATGCCGTGAGACTGGCTGGCGAAAGGGGAAAAAAACAGCAACACAAAGAACCCAGCAACTAATCCTGCACGGCCTGTACCTTTATCACGCACATGGACACGGCACGCACGCAACAAAAGAAACAACATTCAGAAACCAACGTAAGCAAAACAGGGGGCGTTTGCGTGTGATGACACAGGAGAAAAATCGTGATGCGGTGAAGCCTACTCTAGTAGTTATATGTTCTGGTCTCTTTTTCCGCCCAACAGAAAACAAAAATCACACCAGCCAAAACATACGGACCGTCCCCTCTTCCAAGACATATGAGAGCCCCGAAACAGCTACAAGTACTGCTGTAGGGGGCTGGCTGCCTACACACGAAAATCATGAAAACCATGATTCGTAGGAAGCGCGAAACAAGGGCAGCAACCCCTGATCGGAGCACATACACACGCTTCATCTTGACCTTGGACGCTGCTCCAAAACAACCAACTGGTAAAAAACACACCATCGGATACACCCACAAGACCACCTATAGTACGCTAAATCGCCACACCCGCATACACTGCTGTACCACCAAAAAGCGCAACCACACCTGGACGGTGAAGGAACGACTTGCTTTCAAAAACCAGAAACAACTCTTTCATCTCTTCCCCGCTCCGCCGCCGCCGCCTGCTCCCAACTCGAAACCCCCGGGCTCGACAGCACCCCATCCTCGCTCACGCCGCCGTTCGGTCGCCAGTGCAGCACCTGCTTCGCGGCCGGGGTGGCAGCGACGTCCGCCGAGCACATGGACTGCGCTCCTCGGCTAGGGCTGCAGCTGTCGCAGCACCCCCGTCTTCCTCGACTCCGGCGACGGCCTCCGCCTCCGCCGCCGCCGCTGCGACCGCCACCACCATCGCTGAAGGCGTATCGGCGGCAAGTCTTGAAGCAGCAGCTGCACACCATGAGGACCAAGCAGAACAGGCTGGTGAACCAGGCCAGAGAGCTTAGCAACATCCGGTTCTCGACCTCGACCACCTTAGCCTGTCGGCGCCGCCAAAAATGCAACAGCAGGGTGAGGAGTTGTGCCGCGACGAGGCGGCGGCGGATGTAGGCGAGCGGGGAAAGACGAGAACGAGAGACACCTTTCTATTGACCGAGCGGTGCCAACTGCGCGAGATGCACTACGGCCGGCATTCTGGTGGTCGAGGGCACATCTCCTGCGCAGCACGCCGGCAGGTTTGGTGGGCCATACCGCCAACACCACCGCCACACTGCCGCTCATGTTGCCTCTGCTTTGGCGTGTACGCGCGGATGCGTTGCACGAGAGCTATTGCAACGTCATCGCCTCTCAAAAAAACCACCAACGCACGGAAACACGTGCCGCGAAAACACATCGCCGGTACCTGCAGCTCTTGGAAGGCCGGCCACTGGTCGCCGATGTGCGCGAGGTGGGCCGCCTGCGTGTTGAGCAGCTGCGAGCGCGACGCTCGCGCTCGCTCCTGCTCTTGAAGCATCTGCGCGATGACGTCCTGATAACAACCGTGCACGTCGTCTGCCAGCATTGTTTCGCAGGGGTTTCGACGAAAGTGGACGAAAAAGGCGCGGAGGGTGAGAGCAGGAAAAGTGGTGAGACGACAAAGAGGGTCCATTCCAAAAGCATTATCGGCTGTCGTCTCCGACGCGTAAACCCTTAGAAAAAACACATGGTACGTAACATACCAACAACTTCGAGGCTTCGATCAACGCGTAGGCCTACGCCAGAGTACGCGCCAGCGACCCACCTATGTACAAACCGAAGAGGCTCTGGTTGATCTCCAGGGTCTTGATCTTGTTCATGAGGGTCTTGAAGATGCTCTCGTACTGCCCGCCAATCGCCACCCCCCCGCCCGCGGATTGCTGGGCCTGCTGAGTCCGCGCCAGGACCTCCTCGCGGAACTCGCTGAAGCTCAGCGTGTCCAGGCACGCCGCCGCCGACAGCACCGCCACGTCCGTCTCCTCGACGAGCACCACCGGCGAAGAAGAAGAAGAAGCCTCCATCACCTCACCGCCGCCGCCGTCGCCTCCCAACGCAGCAGATGCGTCATGGTGGTGGTGCCCCTGGGCCGTCGCCGCCGGGAGTCTGCCGCCGCCGTCGCCGCCGCCGCCCCCCTGTTGTTGCGTCAATGAGTCGGCCTCCGTCTCCCGCGGTGGCGCCATTGCCGCCACCGGGGGGGGGGCGTGGTCTGCGTCCGCCGCCGCCGCCGCCCCCACCCCCCCCGCCGGTATCGTCGTCTTCGAACCTTCGCGCTGTTGCTGGCTACCATTCGACGTGCCAGGAGGTTCTGGTGACGACGATACGACGCCGGCTGTAGCAGCAGAATGCTGCTGCTCACCTCCGTTCGCTGGCTCAAGAGCAGCACCAGCACCAGCACCAGCACCAGCAGGTCCTTCCTGCTGTCCGCCGCCACTGCTTCCGCCCGGATAATCATCTGCCGGGCTCGCGGGATCCGCTGGCGCAGCGGTCGCTCCGCTGTTTACGTGCTCGGCCGGTGGTCTCGGCACGGTTCCTCCGGCGTGTGCATGATCGCTGGGTGAGCCGCCGCCGTCGGTCTCGCGCTTCTCTTCTCTACCGCCAGACGTCGAAGAACCGCTGTCTCCGACAGCGCCACCTCCGGAAGCGGCATGCACCCCGTCGACACCGCCACCGTTGCTCGACGGCGGCTTCCCCATCGCGGGAAGCTGCTCGCTACCACCTGCACCTGCCAGTCCAGCATCGCTTTTGGGGGCCGTATCGACGTCTCCCTGAGCGGAACCACTGTTGGTTGCTGCCCCTGCAAGGACGGTGGCAGAACCTGGAGGTTCAGAAGAAGCGACCTGCGCTTCCCCTTCAACCGGGTCGTTGCTCCACAGCGATGCGCTGCTGCCGCCGCAGCCACCGCTCCCGTCATCGGGGTCCCCCACCGCCGCAGCACCGGCGGCGCCGTCTTCTTCCTTGGGCTTGACCCCTTCCCCCCTGTTCACTACCTTTGATATCGCCTCCATCGTGCTGTGAATAATGCCCTTGCGCGGCGGTGGGGGTTCTTCTTCCGCCCCCCCCGCCCCCGCCCCCGCCTCTTGCCCCTCAACCGCCGCTGCAACGCCTTCCCCTTCCCCCACCGCACCGACGCTCAAGCTTGCCTTGACTCTCCCCTCGGCAAGCGAACCGTCGCCCGCGCCATCCTTGGGCAAAAGATGCTCATTCTCGGCCCCGTCGTTCGCGCCGCCGTGACCGGCAGCGGCGGCAGAAGCCGCCTCCTCGTTCGCCGGCTGCACAGCCGCCTCTGTCCCCGTCCCGCCAGCGCCCCCCTCCCCCGCCCCTATCGGGTGGTCTAGCTGATCAGCACCTGCGGTTGTTACGCCCCCACCGTGAGCACCCTCATCAGCGGCAGCAGCCCGCAACACCTCGCCGCTTCTACCGCCGTCCTGTGGTGGCGATCCTTCTGCGGGTACTCCCGCCCCGCCCATGGTGGGCACCTTCGCGCCCAAAGAAGCAGCAGCGCCAGCCCCCGCCGCCGTCTTCTGGGCCAAGACTTCCCCCCGGCAGGTCCCGTCCGCTCCCGTCGGCCCCACGCACGTCGCCGTCGGCGCGGGCACCACCATCTCGGCGGGGACGCCACGGACGATGTCTTCGACCGTCACGGTCCCCGGACCGGCGGCGGCGGCGGTGGCGGCGGCGGCGGTGCGCG